GGCATTTGAAGGACGATTCATCAATATCTTATCTTTTTACACTATATAGTCTATAGATATCATACAATGGCGAATAATTTCATTGTTTTGATACTATGTGTCTTTACGAGCGTTAGAAGCCAACAAAGGCGTCTACTAGTTGAGGACGATTTGGCATTCCAGGTGCAGAAACTTACGGAGAGATTAAACAAGCTAGAAGGTAGGATATATTGTGTTCTGTCTGAGTAAACACAATGTTCAGTGTGTACATTTGTACATATGGATAAGTATACTTTCGAAGTCGACGCTTGATTGGATAAGTGTTCTAAACAAAAGATGTTTATCACAGATGTACATGTGAATACTAAAAATATCTTACTTACCAGCACTCCTTATGAAGATAAAAAATGATTTTGTTTAGAAAGGTTTTACTGCATATGATAAATATATTACTTGTATATTCATCATATGTAGTGAAACTGTTCTAAACAAAAGTGACAGTCAACAAATCTAAAATATATCGAGAATGCTCTGAAATTGAGAGTTATGGTGTAGGTGATTGTGAAGGTTGGGGACCAGGGGGTGGGGAAAAGATTTAAGAAATATTTAGCCTGCTATATACATTTTTTTCAAAATAGAAAAATAAAGGATTTAGGGTATCCATCCATGACACAAAATCAGAACATGCACAGCAAAAAACACACAAAAAGCAAAGGAACAGCGCTTTTATTGCTGTACTTCATCTCAAAGTCACAGTGAGGCTTTCAAAACGGAGGGAAAAAAATACTCTCACATCACTCAATTATAAAACGGCCCCTAGCACCGGTTTGAGCGTAATTCTTTGCAAAAGAATTCAAATAGACTTTGTAAGATGTAACACAACCAAATCGACCGGGCCCGGTCAAAAAGAACATACTGGAAAGTAGTACATATTTAAAACAAATTGTTGCTACGCATCTATTAGGTGTAAATATCAAACTATGTAGAATATATTTTGATAATTTAGATATCAAATGAAAAGTGAAGGACTGGTGGTCCTTGTAGAACACATTAATTTTGACTGATAATTTTGATTAATACAACAATGTATGAATGAATTCTAAAATTGAGGGCATATATTGCCTGTTTCTCAAATATGAAATACCTGGTTTGGTGTATTCAAAGTTCCGGTAACTAGTACGGTCTGACGCGTAAATAACGGTATATTGATCCCGCCAATATAAATGGTTGAAAGTGACAAAATAACGTGGAAAGGAATGGGGGCCAAGAATAGGTGGTGTGCGATTTATTAAAATTTTAATACACAAACTAAAATCGGGAGAATGATGTGGCACACATAAGATAAGTTATCGCAAGAATACATGCACCAGAACTCTAAAAATAACATGATATCTGATTCTAATGATATTGTTGTAGCTCTCTTGCCACCACTCGCTACGCTCGCTTAAAAGTCTGGTTTCACTTTTCTATAAAAACTAATTTTGCAATTTTCAGATTGTGTTAAGCAACGAGGAGTTGCATTTACTGCTGCTTTGAGTGATCATCGTACAAATCTCACACTCCACGAGATTCTACGATATGACCATATTGTGACAAATGAAGGCAATAGCTTTAGTGGCGTTAGTGGAATGTTCACTGCACCATATGCTGGGGTGTATGTCTTCGACGTCACTATCGGAGTTGGCGCGTCTGGAACGACAGATGTTTCAATAGTAAAAAATGGCGTTTACCTCCAAAGAGTTTACGGACATACTAGTACGGATTGGGAAACTGCTTCTGCGAGCGTGACAGTTCATCTTAATGCAGAGGATCATGTTTACGTAAAAAATTCTAACTACAATCACGGTTTGATCGGTCACGGACTTACAACATTCAATGGTTTTATGTTGCAGCCAGACTGTGCTCGATAAAACAATTTATCTACTGTTGTTTTATTATACCTTCAGTATCACTAGTAGTACTGTAACAACTATTTATAGCCTCTAAGAGGTTTTCGTGATAATTTTCAAAGCACGCGTAGTAAGAAGAAGGCTGCAAATTCAACAATTAATTTAATTGAACATGTTTATAATATTTTTTTTCGAGAAAATGTTTTACTGGGCATGCACGGACGGTTGCACAAAAGTATCTATGCATGTCAAATTACATGATTAAAAGGAAACAACAACCCAACAAAACAAACAACAAAAAAACCATATACACGACAACTCACGGTCTTAAAGTGTAGACAGGTATGAATTGTCTTTAGTCTTAAACTGTGGGAAGAGAATAGTAGTATCACCCATTTTATTCAAAGAATTTAACAGTAAAAGGTTGATTTAACAAATTTCCAATCAAACACAGATGAAAATATAAATTTCTAATGGCGTAACAAGATCACCTAACACAATTTTATAACATTAGAACTCTTACGTAAAAATATGCTTTAGAGGTGACTTCCAATTTAATTGATGTTTTCACAATTTTTGATGCGTCCCATTTACTATATACTTCAAAGTGAAAATGGTCGTGAATTTACAGCTTTGGTTATCTCAGATTAAAAACTGATGTGGACCAAAATACAAATGTAGTTATCGTTCATGGGAAGCCAAGACATCCCTAATCACAGGGTAGTATTGAGTGGTCGAACAGAGATATTCGTGACAAGCTAACTGCATGGATGAGGGACAACAAATCAACAAAGTGGTCAATAGGAATCAAAGTCGTCCAGATACATAAAAGTTCTGATCCAAACAAAGGTATTGCACGAGCAAAAGGTGCAAATGTTAGAAAACCGGGAAAATGTGCAATAGTCGTTGCCATATAGTTCCGCAACCTGTTATGCAAATAATTTGAACCATCTTTGTTATTTTTTTTATCAAGTATACATTTGAAACGAAGAGTTCCAAGTGGGGAAATTAAAATCATCCCTTCGAAAGTGTTACGGACGCCAAAAGGAGTTGGTTGACCGTTATAAAATGTCCATTTCACAGATGACGACGGAAATGTTCCAATCGTCGTAACAATAATCCCGTCCTCTTTTCCCCCGAATATGACCTACCGAATAAGTAAGATTTATCACCGTGTTTGTACTTACATGAGCAACACGACGGATGCCACATGTGGAGCAGGATCTGATTACCCTTCCGGAGCACGTGAGACCCCATCCCCCGGTTTTTGATTGGGTTCGTGTTGCTCAGTCTTATTTTTCATATGTTGTGTTTTGTATACTGTTGTTTGTCTTTGGTGTTTTTATTTTTTGCCATGACGTTGTCAGTTTATTTTCATCTTTTGAGTCTGAATGTCCCTTTAGTATCTTTTGCCTCTCTTTAAGAGTATTATTCATGAGTTTTGATATCAATAAAATTTATTAGTAATAATTTTATTTCAGGAAATTGAAATTTTTGCTCCAGTTCTGATCATGTTATTATCTACCAAATCTACCCTATAAATATGGCACTACGGCAAAATTGTGGTCTCTACTTGCTAATATGTATTCTGATCTCATACGTGCGGTGTTGTCTGGTGGTACGCAAAAAAAATGGTTCATATAAAACCGTGGTGTTAGGCAAGGAAGTGTTCTTTCAGCGAAACTGTATCTTATTTTTTTATTAACGATCTTATTGATAAATTGGAGTCTTGAATATTTGGTTTTTGTGCTCATAGAGAAAACACTTATAAATTATCATTCGTTTCAATTTCATGACACACATATGCATTTTCATAGTGCTTTAAAAATTGACCATATCATATTATTTTGGTAAACTCTTAAATTGTAGTGAATTTTAATTGTTCAAGTTAGTTGTCATCCTGTTTCTAGCTGGACAGTGCAGGTATGTTTAATGTGTTATCTCTATGACGACATATGATCTAGATTGGCAAAGGGAAGGTTTGGTTGCACGTGAAACTGGTTTAACCCGATCACGTTTGTGTTCCAGATCACGTTTGTGTCTGTACCAAATAGGCATTCTGGGTCAAGTATTGCTCGTTGCTTTTTGTCTTTGCTTGTTTGCAACTTCTTTAAAAATCTTTTTTGAAGGAGTTGGATGTAAGTGATTGATGTGGTCAGTTTGGTGTCCAATATTTTTGTTACCGTTATATTCTATATACTCTGTTATCAATATCAATATAACATTTATCAAAAAAATGTGAGGTGCCTCGGTGGTCAAGTGTTCTGAGAAGTTCATTTACAGTGGTCACTAGCATGTCACTAACACTGAGGTTGTGAGATAGAACCCCGCTAATGCCAAGGTGCATTCGAACTCCGATCTTTATTGACAAGGACTGCAAGTTTTACTGCCTAAGGTCGGTGGTTTTCTCCGGAAACTCCGGATACCTCCGCTGACAAAAAATCCGGATTCCATGATAAAGCAAAGTGTGCTGAAAGTGGCGTAAACCAACAACAATCATCACTTATCAATCAGTCAATAATCTAATAAATACGGACAGGGGGAACATGTTCAAGCTATTATTACGGATAGTGGTAAATATGAATAACTCATAAATTATGTTTATCTGGAACCAGATACTTAAATTTCAATGACATTTTAAAACGCGGTGTATTTTTTCGTAGAAAGAAAAAATCATGTCCTTCATCTTACCTTCAAGGAACAAAAGTGATTTAAAGAAATCCCTTTTTAGTGAATCAAATACTATGATTATCTTAATCAATAAATATTTAAAACGTTGACAAAAGAGTTTTTAAGAATGATAAAAGAAAAAATCATGTATTGAAATAATTATTTTCCACTCCGCTTTAAACCACACAACAGGTGTTAAATGAGTAGAAAGCTGACGAATAATTATTTCTAAAATTTTCATCTGAGGAAAGGTTGCTAGGTGCTAGGAGCCGTCTTGAACTTGCATTGAGATGAGAGTTTTTTTTTTGCTCCGTCCTGAAGGCCTCACTGTGATGAAGAACTGCAATAAAAGCGCTTTTCCTTTGCTTTGTGTGTGTGTGATTGCTGTGCATGTACTAATTTTGTGTCATGGATGGATACCCATATCCTTTGTTTTTCTACATAAAAAAAGTTACGTATATACTATATTTTCTTCTTTTAACGTGTCCTAAGAAAATTTTACTCTAAACTGCATGCACTATAACAATTCTATAAAATGAGATTTTTTCCATGAACATGCATTTCGAGAAGAACCATTATTCACTTGATAATGATTGTCCGACAGTTAGGATGTGTTAATCCTTCGAGATCACCTGTGATCACCACCGGTTCCGACAGTTAGGATGTGTAAATTCTTCCCGATCACCTGTGATCACCACCGGTTACGACAGTTAGGATGTGTTAATCCTTCCCGATCACCTGTGATCACCACCGGTTCCGACTGTTAGGATGTGTTAATCCTGCCCGATCACCTGTGATCACCACCGGTTCCGACAGTTAGGATGTGTTAATCCTTCCCGATCACCTGTGATCACCACCGGTTCCGACAGTTAGGATGTGTTTATCCTTCCCGATCACCTGTGATCACCACCGGTTCCGACAGTTAGGATGTGTTTATCCTTCCCGATCACCTGTGATCACCAACGGTTCCGACATTTAGAATGTGTTAATCCTTCCCGATCACCTGTGATCACCACCGGTTCCGACAGTTAGGATGTGTTAATCCTTCCCGATCACCTGTGATCACCAACCGCTCCGACAGTTAGGATGTGTTAATCCTTCCCGATCACCTGTGATTACCACCGGTTCCGACAGTTAGGATGAGTTAATCCTTCCCGATCACCTGTGATCACCAACGGTTCCGACATTTAGAATGTGTTAATCCATCCCGATCACCTGTGATCACCACAGGTTCCGACAGTTAGGATGTGTTAATCCTTCCCGATCACCTGTGATCACCAACCGCTCCGACATTTAGGATGTGTTAATCCTTCCCGATCACCTGTGATCACCATCGGTTTTTGTTTGTTGGTGTCCGTGCTGCTCAGTCTTCATTTTTGTTATGTTGTATTTTGTAGACAGTTTGCCTTTTCGTCGTTTTTCGTTTGTCTTTTATATTGCCATACGATTGTCAATTAGTGATTGACTATGGAGTTTATTCTTTTGGATTCTTCAAACTTTGTTTTAGTCAAATAACAGAAATAAAATATGTTTAGACTTTATTCATTTTAATCACTTTCCTTTAAAATTGCATAATCGCTAAATGGACACTTCACATAAATAGAACTTTTAATGATGACGTTTCGAACCTAATGAAGTTTTCATTGTATTCATGTGCATTAAGTGAGAATCCGTCTTTTTCTTGTTTGATCGAAACATTTTAAAATTAAATATCAAAAACACTAATGGATTGGCAAAACTGTTCAATGGTGCAAATGTATACAACACTTTATAAACCAATCCGGTTCCTATATTTCCATAAAACTGTAAAAATGCATCTACAAATATCGGCGTCCAACATAATATATACACTGAAAAAGAAGGCAAAGAAAAAAGTTAACTCATTAAGAAATTTGATTATAAGTCAGGGTATTGTTTTTCATTGTAGCGAATTTTAAAAAGAAAACGAAAGCTAAAAGAATAGACTATTTTCATATTACCGACTTTTGACTCCGGATTATATAATTTGTCGACTGGTTACCTTCGACATCATGGTACCAAGTCAGGTAAGAGCAAGCTAAAGAAGTAAAACCAAGCGTTCAATCGGTACAATTTTGGGGGAAAATTACCTGCTTAACATTTTTTTTTCACTACAAAATCATCGGAAAACAGTAATCTTTCCCCTCAAATTACACCGATTATATGTTTGATTTTACTTATTTTAGTTGCTCTTACTTGACCAAGTACCATGATGTCCAAGGTAACCAGTCGACAAATTATATAATCCGGAGTCAAAAGTCGGTAATATGAAAATAGTCTATTGAATATCAAAATGTAAGGAACACTTTTCCATATAAAGAATGAAATGATTTATGCGAGAAAGAACTACTTATTATAAATTGCAAATGCACAAATGAATAACCATTGACTTATTTGCATATCACTGATTAATGTAGAGATTATGTTTAACAAAATCACCCGAAGAAGCGATATGTTTACTTGCGATAACGAGACTCGCGACTGGCATAGCGAAATATGAGCTGGTATATTTGATGAGTTCTAAAACCAGTTTGCTAGATGCCACTGCCGGTAGACGATTGGTCCCTAAGGGTATCATCATAGCAGTAATACGCAACTTTTTGGAAATTTTGGTTTTTTATGTGATATAACTTCGTCTGTTATTGGCCTATAAACTGTTTTGATTCAGCGCCAGGTTTATTTAAACGAAACGTCCCGTTGGTTTACCAAATTATAAATCTTGTATATTGGTTGAACTTTTACTGGACTTGTATTCATGTCTTAACTAAAATATAAATATTTTTTTGAAGGAGTTCTCAATCAATCGATAAATATCGACGCCGATAGATTAGTAAGCAAGAGATATATTCAGACCAATATAGTATTACATTTGATTAAATGTGGATGAAAGGCTCTGTGTTCTAACATAGCAGATCCAAAGACATTTTAAAATCATAATAATTTCTAGATAAAAGGAAATGGAGATACATGGATATTCAGTCTATGCATTCATTCTATTGCGAGTACAAAATTATTGCAAACTGACTTTATATTTTGAAACTCTGTCACAGTAAGCGTTTCGCCCGAAATCTACTGTAAGTTCAGAAATTATTGCGAGGCTTTTATTAAATAAATGCAATAATGCGACGGCCTTGAATTTTAAGTATATTCATGGATGTAATTCACCAGTAATCAGGGTTCTTTCCTTTATAAAGATTAACCTGATTTGTATAAACATTTTGCATCAATGGTCCAGCATAGTATCTATAGAAAGGGACCAGTAAATTAATATATCATCTTTTGTCCTTGCATCTTTTATATTAGGAATAATTCGCTTATTTATTATGTAAAGCATAACTCATTTGATTTGTCTGCCTCTTTTATTAAACTAAACGCTGAGAATCATAAGACCCTATATAAAGACATACTTAAAATTCCCACTCTGAGTAATTCAATTAACATAGAAATGTAAACTTACCACAAACAACCACTAGAAGTAGCTTTATTGTTTTAATTTTCGCACTTGAAATCACTTTATTCTTTGAAATTATTTCCTCTGTAGAAGCTGTAAAATATCAACAAAATAGTAAACTAGATAAGATAAGATAAGATAAGATATTTTATTTCCAATTATGGGCCCCAAAGGGCATAAACATTACAACATCAATAATTTTTTCATAATACAATACAAACAATGAGATAAAAAAAAAAAAAAAAAGTTAAACGAGAACTATTTAAGTTCTTAAAGAATACGTAGATAAAGAATCTATAGTATGTTGTTTTTTTTAATACTAATGCATTTTATTGCAAGTGTGGTTGATATAGATAACAAACAAGCAGCCCAAAAAGAAAAAAAGAAAAATAGATATCCACATATGTATAGTACACAAAAAGTTGGATCAATTAAATATATAATAATTAGCCAAAAAGAAAGTAGAAATTAAACATGTCCATGACTCATCCTGTGTCAGCAGCAAATAGGAAAGCATTATGGTTTCCTAAAGGCAGCTGACTACATATTAAAACATTTGAAATCCGTCAGTCGTTTATGAATTAAGTATAACCGGGCTGCTTAATTGGAAATCTTCAAATAAAGTAACACAGCATTAAACTGTTTGCCACGAGAGGACATGATCAGGATCCGGTTGGCCATCTCTCAGTTAAATATAACCCTTGGTTATATATAACCCATGGATAAATCTTTTAACTGAGGGTTACGTAACTAAGGAATACAATTCTGTTGTTCAAATTTTCAGTTAATGTTCATTTTTATCAAAAATTAGAAATTATCAACACTTTTCTCCAATCCTAGAAAAACTGTTTGGTCAATAAATATTTATTCTTATTAAAAGCAATACGCTTTATAGCGTCTAAGCTCATTTAAGGTAGATCATCGGTATATCTTTCCTGAGATATAATTTTCTTATACTTTGCCTAAATGTAGATTTTGCCATTTTTTTTTTTAAACATAATAAAAAGTATGGGTTACCCCTGCCATTTTTTAAGCTACAAGTTTCATGAAAAAAAGCCTTTTTGTGTGTATAAAAAGAAATCTATGAGATAGAATTTTGAAATTAAAATATGAAAATATAGATTTAACTATCATGATGATATACTTTTAAAAAATAAAAATAAAAATCGTGTCCCGAACTTGTTTTCTTGCTATAAGAAAAACAAAAATAAAATGAAAATTTCATTAACATTACAGTATAAAAATTTAACTATAAGAGTAATCTTCCCTTATATGGCAATGTTGAAAAATTTAATCGAACAAAAAAGAATTGTTTGGTATTTGTTAAAACAGTCTCAATGATTAAAAAAATAACTTAATTTTCTTTATTTAAATAAACAGTATTACACATTTATTTCCAATCTGTCTAAAAAATTGCAGATTTAAGCAAAGAACTAGACCGATTAAGTACCACTATTTCTCAATCCAAGATGACGGTATACAGTTAATCTACATTAATAGTACTACAACGCGGACAGAGATCACTTTTTCTTTGAAAAGAAGCGTTGACCGGAGAATTGTATTTCATTATAGATTACTACATTAGGAAACAGATTAATATAAGCTAACAGCTTGTTTCTGGATTCTATTACTTATTCAGTTGTATTGATATGTAAATGCCAATTTGTGTACATTACTTAACCTGAATTTAATTAATAAAATATGTTTACACTAATACATTATCATAATAAAAGATGTTTGATTTTGCTGCATCAATTTGACATAGCTGATGACAGGGTAAAACAAATGTTGATCTGAAAAGGTCTGTTAGGTAGACACCGTGAACGTAAACCTCGATGCCGGCAAAAGAGGGGGAAGGACGGTTAAAAGTTAAAATAAGTTTAAGATTACTAATGATCGTATAAAACGAAGAATATGTTGTATCAAACGTTTGGTGACCATTTAGGTCTAGCTATCAACAGGGAATCGTACTTTTACAGACCACTATTCCTTGGTTAATATTTAACCGCAGTTCGAAGTACGGTTGAATCTGAATCAATTAACTAAGGATTTAACAAGGAGATGAATTCAACCTCAGGATGAACATCAGAAAATAACCGACGGCTAAAGTCTAACCAAGGGTTATGATATTTAACCCTTGTTTAGAATTAAACCAAGAGATGAACAACCGGGTCCAGGAGGTTAAATCACACAACGGTTTGTATTCGATGATAATGGTTTATACTTTAACACAATACTATTCTTATATCCCCTAAACGCAAGTACTTATTGAAATTGTATGGTTTCATACAGTAAGATGGTGTTCACAGTTGCATTTTTATGAAGAAAAAAAAAACAAAGCCCTTAAAACGATTGATATCATATTTCTTTCCCTACAACCTATTGGTGAAAATTATGATATTTATAACAAAAAACAAATATCGTACCAAGTGTGTTTCATGGGAAATCCAAATTCGAATTACTAATGAATTTTTTCAAAGTTTATAGATGAATGTTAAAGAAACAATTAGCTTTTCAAAGTAATACTCATTTTCATTTAAAGTAGGCCATACTAAGTAAAAGCAAATAAACACTGTTCCAGAAAGCAATCATGATACATCAATTTAGAAAATATTACCTGTATCACTTCTGTTAGCCGGAACAAATCCACGTTTTTCCCGTCTACAGATTGTTATTATGATACCAGTATAACATATAACAATTATAATGACTGGTATAACTATTATAATTGAAGCATCAATATATATTATTGCCTGAAAAATTAAAGATGAGAACATCTTTAAATATATGCAAACAATGTTTAGATGAGGACATATGAGGTATGGGAGTATCAAAAATGATATAGTTGAATCTCTGCATTTAATTATTTAAATATATTATGAAAGTTAAACAAATGTACACCTAATTGCACTGTATATGGTGAATTTGGTAGAGTATTTATGTCTGTTTGCATTAGTTAGATATAAGAAGATTTGGTATGAGTGCCAATGAGACAACTGTCCATCCAAGTCACAATTTGTAAAAGTAAACCATTATAGGTCAAAGTACGGCCTACAACACGGAGCCTTGGCTCACACCGAACAGCAAGCTATAAAGGGCTCCACAAATGACTAGTGTAAAACCATATAAACAGGAAAACCAAGGGTCTTATCTATATAAAAAACGAGAAACACTTATGAACCACATCAACATCAGGTTCCTGACTTAGGACAGGTGCAAACAAATGCAGCGGGTTTAAACGTTTTAATAGGCGCCAACCTTCACCCTACCTGAAAAAAAAGAATGTTTGGTTTTTGGAAACGTATTGTAATGGGTAAAAGAGAAAGTTTCATATACACTGTATGAAATGCTGCATAGACTTGGTTTTGGTGATGTTTATCATTCTAAATTGTTAAATTATGTAAAAGATATTTTAATTGAATGTGGTAATGTTGATGCTTGGAATAATCAATCTGTTCGAAGGTATTGTAATTTATCTAAAAATGTGAAACAGTATTACCATGATTTATTTGTAAATGATTTGAAGACTTAAAAAGTCAATTCATCTAAATAATATATAAGGCTAAATTTGGTATGGAAAATTATTTAACTGTATTACTTTTTGATTTAACACAACTTATTTGAATTTAGATGCGGTAGTCATAGATTACCCATCGAATGTGGTAGTTTTTTGTTAGTATAGATAGGCCAGAAAGAGTTTGTGATTTATGTAACAAGGAAGAATTAGGTGATGAATTTTATTATTTATTTAACTGTACCATCTTCAATGTCGAGAGACAAATTGTTTTTACCTGCAGAGATATGTAAAAATTTTGTTAGCTTCTATGAATTAATGGAAAGTAACGATGAATTCACTTTTGTTGGCTTGTCCAAATTCTGTTAAATTATAATGTCTATATATTCAAGTGATATTTACCTATGGCACGTCAAACGTTTCAATATTAAAAAAAAATATTGATTTAAAAAAGATAATTTATCTTCAAAACATAAGAATTAATATGCAATATTTTCCTATTTATATTCAAAAAATAAAAAAATTATGTTCAAAACTTACAAATAAATATGCAATATTATATTTTTCTATATATATCTGAAAAATAATACTTTATGTTCAAAACGTACAAATATATATGTAATATTTTTCTATATATATTCAAAATATAAATTTTAATGTGCAATATTTTATATATAGATGTGGTGAAAAATATATAGATTCAATAATATTGCATTCTGGGTACTATTTGTAATGACGGATTTCATTGGCTTGATTGTATGACCTCACATTTATTATTTCCCACACTTTGGGCTAATTCTTGATTTTCTTTATATTCAAAGTAAGTTAATTATGTGAAGAAGGATTATTTATATTGTTTGATAGTCATGATAGTTGGAAAAAGTCCATTTTTATATCCGTCCTCTCCAGTCATTCAGACCACACATGTTTACTGGTGGTATGATATGAATTTGCCTTTTTTTGTAAATTTTCTTATTTCTCTGCATCAAATAAGAGTTTTACCAGTGAAAGTACATATTACTTTATACACCATATCACTTTTTTAATTAAACTTTATTGTTATAAAGAAATGAATTACGGCCGTAATTGTGTTCGCGGCCCAATTGGAAAGTGGTTAATTCAACTCAATACACCGGTAAACCGAACCAACCCGAGTTCTACCACAAATACAACTGAGGAGTTAATACAAAAAAATGATAAGTACATGTCTAGATCTATATCTATACAATGCAGTATCCTATATCCTGGCCTAAAGTATTTGATCGAGTTAAGCCATTTTAATTGATATTTTATAGTCCGTCTTTTTATGTAGTAATGTTACACTACTACCTCAGGTTATGGTGAAGGTTGGCGCCTATTAAAACGTTTAAATCCGCTGCATTTGTTTGCACCTGTCATAAGTCAGGAGCCTGTTGTTCAGTGGCTGTCGTTTGTTGGTGTGGTTCATAGGTGTTTCTCGTTTCTCGTTTTTTATATAGATTAGACCGTTGGTTTTCCTGTTTGAATTGTTTTACACTGGACATTTTGCGGCCCTTTATAGTTTGTTGTTCGGTGTGATCGAAGGCTCCGTTTGGAAGGCCTTTGGCCTATAATTGTTAATTTTTTATACATTGTGACTTGGATGGAGAGTAGTCTCATTGACACTCATACCACATCTTCTTATTTATTCTAAATACAAAACAATTACCCTGTACGATTAAAAAAATGCCCTATTCAATATTATTGAATATATATATTTTAACCACATGAATAAATAAAATATTGCACATACATTTTGTATATTTTAAATATATATAGAAAAATATTACATATATATTTGAAAGTTTTGAACATAAATTTTAATTTTTTTGAATATACATTGAAACATTTTGCATATATATATTTGTAAGTTTTGATAGTTTTCGAATATAAATAGAATAATATTGGATATATATTCAAAAGTTTTGAACATAATTGTTTTTTTAAATCAATTTTTTTGTTCATATTGAAAAGTTTAATTTTGACGTGCAATATTTACATTCCTGGACAATTCTGTACATGTACATACGTATTATTTTGTTCATGCATTGTGTTTGTTTATATTGTTTGTATGTACTAGCATGCCTCGTGTGAGGCCTTAAGTAAAATAAAATGTTTCAAGTTTCAAAAAGATACATAATTGTCACCGCCATCTGTTAGTCAGATAGCTGACTATACCAGTCAGTTTATTTCATGAAACATGTTAAACGGATATCAAAGATCAATTGCATTGAGAAGTAGTTGTAAGGGGGAAAGGAGTGGGTGCATTTCAGCTTATCCTCGCTACATGGTCTTCATTATCTGTAACATTCGTTAATAAAATATTCAATATAAAAAATAAAAGTTAAACTTTTCACTTAACTTGACAAAACCCGCCATATTTTCATATACCTGTCACATACCAAGAACCTCCCCATATTTGTTTATAGATCAGTGTTTTTTAGATAAAGACATTTGATTGTGATGACAGATTTGTGGTAGTCACTGCAAAATAGCTGCTTACCGATAGCCAAGAGAAGGAAGACATGCTTTCATATAGACATAGTTTACCTACTACTACTAGAGGATCTCGCACGGTCGGTAGTATACCTCTATGTTATTTTGGGCTTAAGTGAAGAGTTGGTTTATTGGGAACCATACCACATCCTCTTATAGTATAAACTTTGGGTTAGAATTTAATTACCTAATTCGATCTTTTATATGGTTTAGATTATAATTGCTTTATTTTGTCGGTAAAAAAAATCCCAGGTTCTTGCTGAGGATAATCTAGAAAAAAGGAAAATAATACCTGAGATTGGAATAGGCCATAATATGTAATCATTTTCTTTTAATTAAAGAAACGCAGCTGTTATACTGACGCAGATACAAACAGGGTTCAAATTAAAAACGGACAAGAACAGATTGGATCTATTTCAAACGTAAAAATATCAATAAAGAATGTATAATAAAATATTGCTTTTATATTTTGCAAAAAGTGAGAGAAGTTTCTGATGTGCAATTCGAATTAAATGGAAGAAACCCAAAATAAGGTCATGATCAAATGAAAAATGACAACATAATAAGTTCACAAAACACAACAAAAACATTAAGTTTTAGCAACAAAAATCACATCAAATGTATTTTTCACTGAAACTCACCTCTCTGTATGGAAAAATATGAAAACAACTTGTCTTCCACGTCTTAATGTGAACAACGTACTGTATCGCAAGAAGTGCTCCAATAATCCATGCAGCTGACGCCAAACCAAATCGATATTTTTGTCCTTTAGAGGCTGCCGATAAAGGTCTAACAATAACGTAAAGTCTATCTATAGATAACACAACTATCGCATATATAGACACATAGACTGCGAACTGTGAAAAATATGCATAAACTATATAGCAGACATATTTATTCCAGGGAACTCCAAAATGGCTGAATACCAACTCTGGGAAAACGAAAAAGAGTCCAAGACAAAGATCTGCAAATACAAAATAATTATAGTTAAAAAAATGTCAAATGCTATGCAAGGTTGATAAATATTTGAATACTACGAAACACTTAAATACTTACGGTGGAGAATGAATTGCGTTCTCTTCCGGAAAATACATTTCATAATTTCGGTTTTCACAGTGCTACTCATACTTAAGTTTTTTTTGTAATGCTTTGTATACTATTGATTGTATTTTCATCTTTTTCTTCTAACCACGGTTTTGTCTGTCCTTTTACCCTTCTTATTTAAGAATCGATCGGTATTTTCTAAATTTTAATAATCAGTAATTAATTGTGATTGAAAATTTAGAGCACATAGGCGTTAGCCGAGTGTCCGTTATGAGGTCATATGTATTTCAACAAAACAAAACTTTAATCCGAATGAAGATATACTCGGGGCATGTCGATTTGACCAACTATTTAGTTTATGATAGTATTTTTATGATTTATTTGACATATAGAATTCATAATTAGTTAGACATAGCGTGATATAATTTTAGCAAAACTATCCTCTCAAAACCGACCTCGACTTGCAGGGATGTTTGAGAAATGGTCCTTGTTGAAGGCTTCATTCAGTTTTACTTTGAGATAAAGTACAACAATTTCCGATTTGTCGAGGGCATGTATGGAGTTTGTGTTCTGAACAAACACATTTTTTGTTCTTTTATGTTCAACTTTATATGACTTTTAGCATTTGATTCGAGTTCTTGTTTCGAAATACTTATGTTCCATGCTAATATTTGTTTTTGTTTGTTTTTGACGAGGATACACCTTTGGACCCCTAAAACGACGGTGTGTATAATACCCAACTCGTTGACCATGCAATTGTCTGTAGTGACGTCTTGATTTTCAATGAACACAATACATGTAGTATATGTATCACTTGTAATTTATCAAGCCACATATTTTGTAACAATGCATGATTTATAACCGTTGCTAGATTTTTGTTTATATATATAAAGATAGTTTGTAAGTTTGGTTCTAAAAAGTGTCAAAAATACTGAACTCAAAGGTAAACAAAAAAGGGGGAGTCCAAATAACCCGACAAAGTCAATCGCTCGACTATATCAAACAACGGAACGAATAAAACACAGATATTTTCGAAAGAAGTTGGTTAAACCTGGTTTTATAGGTATATTAACCTCCCTCTTGTATGACAGTTGGTTATAGCTCCTTAATTTTACAGTGCAGTTGTCTTGAGATCTCGAAATTAAGATTAGATCAATGTAAATCTATTGGTCCTTTGAATCCATTCATTCTTAAAGATTATCAAGATAACATTATAGTCAGACCTAAGGTTAAGGGAGGGACAAGAACTCACAAATATGATTAAACCTTCACATTCTTTATGCATCTGTCAAAAGCCATTAGAATTAAATCTAGGATTTGTTGTTGGTTGGTGTCTGTTATAATTGATTTCCATGTAATGTTATTACTGTAAACCAACTTATTTTCGCGGATTCTTTATCTCGCGTGAAGTCCTTTCTAGTCCATTTCGCGGCGATTTAATTTCGCGATTTTCAAATTTATTTGATGTAGTTAAATAATGAAAGATCCAAGTTTTACAGGGTATCGAAGATTTATATTCGCGTTATTTCTTACTCGCGAATGTCGCTGAAATAAATCGCTCGCGAAAATTAGTTGGTTTACAGCATATCAAATAAGTTCGTTGGTCTTTGAGTTATTTAACATTTTGTTGTTCCGGCTATTAATAGGTTGGTATACGCTATTAGTTATGCTCATTGTTACAGTCCAAACCGTGATCTGTAGTTGACATTCTTTTCATTTGGTCTTAAAGGGATTGTTTTTTCATTGATAATAACACCAGATCTCCTCATCTTATATATTGCATGACTCTAATTCAACTGATCATTTCATGATAATGTGCAGGTATGCTTGAAAAACCCAATGCATGGCAGAGTACTATATATTATATAACATATTAATGGACAGTTACAAATGAGTTATGTCCTTTCTAATTTGAAATTTTATTATCAGTAATATTTAAAGATATGGATAAAAAGAGATGTTGGTAAACTAGAGAGAACAGATAGTAGTTAACGAGGTTCAAATCTTATTATATCATTCAGACAAATGTCAGAACATATATATTAAATTAAAAAAAGGCTTTAAAGATCGCATAAACTCTAAAAGAGCAACCCTTGGTGTTGGAATGAAACAACAACCACAAGACTGAAACAATCTACATGCTAGAGGGGAAGTATGTGGTTTACTAATTCATGACCCAAAATCACTGCATGCGCATCGCAAACCTTAAACCAAGGATAATGATCACAAATCAACACACCGCCGTTCTCACGAATAAACAAAGTAACATGCTTGTATATTATTATGAAGAGGTATCACTATGAACTCAATCTATAACTTATATTCTGCTTTCTTTATTTAAAAGATGTGACCAATTGCAACTAAAAAACGAATAGTTCATTTCATTTTTTTTTAAATCATAGGAATCATTAGTCATCACTTTAAGTATCTTATACATAAATTATATTATTTCAGATATTATATTGTTGATTGTACTAAAAGATAGGCGGAAGTTACAGACGGTTTATCCAAACTAATATGTCGAACACAAACTGATAACGTCATGACAAAAAACGAAAAACCACCGAAAGACAAACAGCAGTCCACAAAACACAGCAAAGTAAACAAAATACCGAACAACACGAACCCCGCAGAAAACCAGGTGTCTGAAAGGGTAGGCAGATCTTGCTCCACATGTAGTAACCGTCGTGTTGGTAATGTAAGTAAAAATAAAGGTCTCATTCGGCGAATAGGTAAGAAATAATAGTAATACCTGCTATTGCAAGGTTAGTAACGAAAAATCCCATCCTCGTCTTCTTCTTCCGTGATAGTAACAGCACGATAACAAGTGTATTGAATGCTATTATACCAAGGAAAATCACGAATGAAATCCATTTCAAAATCGCCTACAAAATACTAACATAGTTAATACACATATTACATGGTGATCAGTACAATGTCATCATTCACAGTATTATTGATGAATTGATATACGGTGAATTCAATTATTTTCGTGGATTGAGGAAAACTTTTCGTGGATACGTGGTTTTTGACAAGATCTGCATATATTTCAATAGAATATTTTTGATTCGTTGAACATATAGATTTGTGGTTCTCTTGTACCGACGAAACCCACAACAAATGGTATCCAACGAGAAATAGTAAATCCACAGTATTTTTTTTCCGAGTGGATTGTATTCGATAATTTCTCGATTACAGATAAAACATTGGAAATCCTGATCAGGAACCATAAAAACGAAAAAATATAAAACCTTTTAATCAGATTTGGGCAAAGAAAGCTCAATATTAAAATGCGCTAAAACTGCATATTTTTTTTGCAACCATGTTAATATTTTCTACAACAAAAAAAAACTAATTTTGTTTTGAAAAGTAACGTTTTGTATGCATAAGATGTAAATAAATCCAGTTAGTTTTATTTTGTCATGAAGTTATATACAAATACATGGCCGTAGAAAAGTTTAAATTTGGACTTTCCGTATAAAATTTGTTCAAGAAAAACAACATTATCAGATAACATTTAGTGTTCAGACATATGTTTATCAGTTATCGGGGGAAAAAGCGTGCACTGATACATTTTTTCTTATGATTATTTTTATAATGAACAAAAGTAAAAAGGCACGTCGGATCGTAAAAAAGAGAGAAAAAAGAGTTAGTCTGTTATATTGTAACAATTTTATCAAATGGTTTATAAAACCATTATTTATTTTTGGTCATAATTACCCATATCTGTCTTGAAGCAATGTGTGGTGACATTTAAGTTTTTTTTTTGTTTAAATCACAATATTTTCAAATGTTCCTTATCTTTGTTAATCGCTTTATAATACAAAGGAAAAGAAAATTATCAATCACTTTTAGAATTCCAAAAATCAGTTTCCTTTCCTTCAAGACATTTATTTTAACAAGTTATGAAGTGATATTTGTCGTCCCATATGTGAAATATAAAGTAACTGACAAATAGATATAGCAAATTTACATTTTGATTGATTGATTGGTGATTGCTTCAAAGCACCAGTGCAAAAAGGTTTATCAATGTGATAAATTGACATACAGACAAAAGTCAAGATAAAATATATTGATCATTTACCAAAAACTCTGATCTCAAAACGGAAGAAATACCAAAAAAACCGCGATCAATATATCCATTACCATAAAAAAAGAACTGAAAAACATGATTTTGTAAAGATGAAACCACTCTTCTCCCCTCATTGTTTAATAAAAATAAAACAGACTCCATCAGCAAATCATCTGACAATTTTATTGAATTAACTATAGACCTTTATTTCTAGAACGTATTCTTGTGTTTAGTCATCCCCCAACTGCTACTGTAACATTTTTTGAAATATTAGACGATTCTTTGGATTTATGCTTACGTTTTATATTTACAGTAATGTAAGCCATGTTGATTGATTGATGACAACATAGTTCTCAAATAAAAAACTAGACACACTAAGGAGCATTAATGTTTGAACTGTTTCAAACGTTTTAGTAGTGATAATCTAAACAAACATTCAAATATTGTGCATTTAAGGTTAACAAAAGATCTAGAGAGAACGATGATACCAAAGGGTATTCAAACTCTTTCTTTACGAGTACCAAATACTGCTGATTTATCGTTTGACTTTGTAATCATTTTCCATAGGTGTTTATTAAATTATTGATTAGATTGTTGTTTACAAACACTTTAATCGGAATCTGTAGTAAATGAGCTATTGATTATGGTATACAATTCCTGGGACTTTATCGAGTCTTAATTATTAATGTTAAGGATTTTACGTCTATTAAACAACGATCTACAATACGTAAAATAGGTATAAATTTGTGTCTTCGTTTCGTAGATATTTTTCTCCCATCGAGTACTCGAGTATCGCTCGGTAAAGCAAACGAGTACTCAATTAGTAACTCTTCAGCGAGTTGATGCTAGTTTGTGCTAACCTTATTATGATCTGATGTATTACTGGTTCCATTGCTGTGATTACTATGTGTCGTTGTATTGTTATAATATTCCATACTGTTATTTTTTTCCTGTAAAAAATAGTTATATAAAATGTTTGTTTTGTGATTTAGGATGACACAGTATGTAAAATAACTTACAACAGGAGGTTTGTAAACATCAACAGTAATTGTGCATTGGATGGCCCTGCTGTTCATTCATACGAGTTCAATGTGCAGAGTTAAGGCAATGTCATGGCCAGAATTTCGATAGACTAAAATATAAAGCAATGGACAAAAAGCACCCATGATATATCATACATCTGATTTGGATGGATAGTTTGACACTGAACTATTATCCGCTGACTTGCATTCACCCTAAAATGATTAGAATTTACTTATGATATTTATTTAAATGAATACACGTCTGGCTCACTTTAGTACAAGTCTGGATTTTGTTCCACAGAAAATCTGACCAATGAAAAGTAACAAAAAAACTCAAAGGCAAATTCTAAAAAGGGGAAGTCCATAGAAACTGACAATATCAAACATTGTCAACCAACGGAACAAGTGAACAACAACTGCCATATTCGTGACTTGGTACAGGCATTTTCCGAAAAAAAAAATGGTTGGTTAAACCTGGTTTTATAGCTTGCTAATCCTTTTATGATATAATAATCTTTAAAGTTCCGTTATATTGACAAAATAGGCCGAGCAACTCAAATTAGGTTAATGTGACAATAATACACATTATACACATTGGTGGGGTTTGTGTTGCTTAGTCTTTAGTTTTCTATGTTGTGTCATCTGTACTATTATTTGTCTGTTTGTCTTTTTATTTTTGGCCATGGCGGTGTCAGTTTGTTTTCGATCTATGAGTTTGACTGTCCCTCTGGTGTCTTTCGTCACTCTTTTATCGCTATTTATGCCAATCCGGATAAGTTCTAAAATTACACAACTTTTTCAAACCAGTTGAAGCTTACTGGGGCCTTGTTCAAACAATATATTGTGCATCAAACTTTTCATAAAGACATGTTTAAACCATCGTAAACACATCAAACAAATCATTTTTAATGACTTTAATTTCTCTTTTAAAAATTGTTTCATAAACTATCAAAATTTAAAATGTTCACTTTCCAAACTTTTTCCTCGCTCAGCTCATTGCTGATGTCCTTTGTTTTTGACCCAACCAGAAGTTGTCTAAATGAATGTTTTTTCCGGAATGGACTAAATAGCGATTAGGTGTATTGGGGTCTAGCAGCCATTACTTAATAAACATACATCACAGACATACAACACAACTGTCTAAAAAATTCAAACAAGCATACAAATTAATCTAACACAGACGCCAACAAAAATGGTAGATTTGACAATGACATCAACAAAACAGTTTTTGTCGTTGATAGTACATACCGTATATAGTATACACTTTCTCGATAAAGTGGCAAATAAGTAGATATAAAATATAAGGGTAAAATGAATAGAAACAACACTGTAAAAACTCTTTGAGTCCGAATAGGACCTCAGGACCCACCTGTACCAGGACTACCCAAAAGTTGAAAAGTCAAAAACCCGATGGCGGGATGCATAAATAACGAGTCACGTCAATGGTCATACGACCAAAGGAACATGATAGCACGAAGACAAATAACGGGGGGAAACTAAAGTGAAATAAAACGATACACAATTTCAGCACCTAGAATCTATAACTCAAGACCATCTTGTATTATTTGTAAAGTAGACACTTAATATTTATATTTTAGGTCTTGATACGTTCCGATAAAAGAATAAGAATATTAAGTTATGAACATGCAGTAAACGTACGATCAAATTAATTGATTTCGTAAGATTTATTGTAAATCGCGGCTAGGAATTTTTAACATGTTTAACGCGTTTTGTTAAAAAAACAGTAATTTTCGGTTTACAATTAACTTTTCAATTATCTAAAGAACTATTTTGATTAATTCAAGTATCTTTACCCTAACACAATAAAAAGAAACCCAAAAACGTTACGTTGTTGGTTGAATTTCCATCACCAGACCAGCAGTCAGCACTTCTGTGTTGACATGAATCATCATTAATTTGGCTTTTTAACTTTTTTTTTCGAGCATTACTGATGAGTCTTTTCAAGACGAAACGCGCGCCAGGCGTACATCTTTTAATCCTGGGATCTATGATGAGTTTATTTCCATTGATTAAAACAGACTAAGGTTCCTACTCCCTCAAGAAAAAAAGAGGGAAGAAAGATATCAGAGGGACAGTCTAACTCATAGATCGAAAACACACTGACAACGATATGGCTTAAAATAAAAAGACAAACAGATAAATAATAGTACAGATGACACAACATAGAAACCAAAGACTAAGCAACACGAACCCCACCAAAAACTGGGGGTGATCTCAGGTGCTCCGGAAGGGTAAGCAAATCCAGAAGAGTTGATCTTGGATGAGTTTTACTATTCATTGTAGGTCCCTATTAGTCATATTGCTACTAACTTTATTTATACATCCCTAGCTTTCAAATGATAAGGTTTGGGCGTTCCTTATTAAGGCAGATCCAGAAAAGCGCTTTGGACACACGAAATTTATAAATTGTTATATCCATTTAAGAAGTTTTTAACCAATTACAACGTTTCGATGTACACTTTTAATTTTTTTACCAAGAATGCAATAAAACAGTGCGGAATTGATTTAATCCTTATTAAGGCAGATTCAGAAAAGCGCTTTGGACGCACGAAATTTATAAATTGTTATTTCCATTTAAGAAGTTTTTAACCAATTACAACGTTTGATGTACGCTTTTAAATTTTTTACCAAGAATGCAATAAAACGGTGCGGAATTGATTTAATCCTTATTAAGGCAGATACAGAAAATCACTTTGGACGCACGAAATTTATAAATTGTTATTTCCTTTTAAGAAGTTTTTAACCAATTACAACGTTTCGATGTACACTTTTAAATTTTTTACCAAGAATGCAATAAAACGGTGCGGAATTGATTTAATCCTTATTAAGGCAGATTCAGAAAAGCGCTTTGGACGCACGAAATTTATAAATTGTTATTTCCATTTAAGAAGTTTTTAACCAATTACAACGTTTTGATGTACGCTTTTAATTTATTTTACCAAGAATGCAATAAAACGGTGCGGAATTAATTAAATCCTTATTAAGGCAAACCCAGAAAAGCACTCTGGACGCACGAAATTTAAAAAGTTTTATTTCCGTTAAAGAAGTTTAGAACCAATTACAACGTTTCGATGTACGCTTTTAAATTTTTTACCAAGAATGCAATAAAACGGTGTGGAATTGATTTAATCCTTATTAAGGCAAATCCAGAAAAGCACTTTGGACGCACGAAATTTATAAATTGTTATTTCCATTGAAAGAGTTTTTAACTAACAACAACGTTTCGATGTACGCTTTTACAATTTTACCAAGAATGCAATAAAACGGTGCGGAATTTATTTAATCCTTATTAAGGCAGATCCAGAAAACACTTTGGACGCACGAAATTTATAAAATTTCATTTCCATTTAAGAAGGATTTTTTTAACCAATTACAACGTTTCGATGTACGCTTTTAATTTTTTTTACCAAGAATGCAATAAAACGGTGCGGAATCGATTTGATCCTTATTAAGGCGGATCCAGAAAAGCACACTGGACGCACTAAATTTATAAATTGTTATTTCCATTGAAGAAGTTTTTAACTAATTACAACGTTTCGATGAACGCTTTGGAAACTATTACCAAGAATGCAATAAAACGGTGCAGATATTTTGTAATCTGTTGTACTCTGACACACTATTTGTTTCTGGTATTATCTCCAACATTGGACAAATCAGTAATGATGCATACACGCTTTGCTTTATATAACTGGCAATTAAACGAACGAATTTAAGTTCATAGATTTGTTATACAATGTAAAAAGTAAAATAACAAAAATACCGAACTCCAAGTAAAATTCTAAACGGAAAGTCTCTAAGCAAATGGCAAAATGGATAACAACTGTCACATTCCTGACTTGGTACAGACATTATTTTCTTATGTAGAAAATGGTGGATTAAACCTGGTTTTATAGCTAGCTAAACCTCTCACTTGTATGACAGTCGCATAAAATTCCATTATATTGACAACGATGTGTGAACAAAACAAACAGACATAATAGGTAAAAATGTCAAAAATAGGGGTACAGCAGTCAACATTGGGTTATAATCTTAATCACTACAAAAACAAGCAAATATGTCAACAAAGACAAACAAAAAGGCATATAAACAATGCACATTAGCATTAAACGAAAAACAAGAATACAAACATTTTACCATAGTACAACAACACAATGACTGGATGTACAAGTAACGAGCCACGTCAAATGAATCACAACAAAACAAGCAAATATGTCAACAAAGACAAACAAAAAGGTATAAAGACAAAGCATATTAGCAAAAACGAAAGACAAGAATACAAAAATGTTACCATAGCACAACAACATAATGACTGGATGTACAAGTACCGAGCCACGTCAAATGAATCACTACAAAAACAATCAAATATGTCAACAAAGACAAACAAAAAGGCATATAAACAAAGCACATTATCAAAAACGAAAGACAAGAATACAAAAATTTTACCATAGCACAACAACACAATGACGGGATGTACAAGTACCGAGCCACATCAAATTGATACTGCCAAAAAAAAAGATAATTTCAAAATTAAAATTGTCTCGTTTGTTGTAGGTTCTGGTACTTAGATGACCGCTTATGTCAAATTCGAGGTATAAGTCTAAAAATGAGGCAGAGGAAGCCGTTTCTGTTGTGTCTTCAACTTCTAGTTCTGGAGGATATACTAATGGAACCCAATCAGAAAAGTTTGGATTGTTAATGGAAAGAACATCATCAATATATCTGAATGTGAAATTAAATGATCTGGCTTCTTTGATCTTCTTGTTTTTGACAAGTGTCTGAAGGAACTTCGACTCATATGAAAATAAGAAGAGGTCGGCGAGCAGAGGCGCACAGTTTGTTCCCATAAGAATGCCGACAATTTGTTGAAAAAGTCTAACTCCAAATTCAACAAATATGTTGTCAATAAG